GGCTGGGGGCAGAACAGTCCACCTGGGAGTTTGTGGGGCTTACTGGGGAGTGGGCTGAAGGACCACACACACAGTTAGGGATTTAGAGCAGTGGATGGGGATATAGATCAAATATGTCGATGGCCTCCGTGCACAAGATCCTGGGTTCCATCCCCAGCACCCCTACCCCTTAAAAAGACCCCTCATTTTCTGCCACTTTGTAAACGAATACTGTCATTGAACTACCACGCACTTGGGAGGACTTATAAATAGGTTAGAGCGGTCAAAGAAGGTTTTTGTAACTTTAAAAAGGGTTATTTATTTTTATTTTTGAGTTGTTTTTGTCTGTGTGTCTGTGTACCATGTGCGTGCAGTGCCAGAGGCCTGAGAAGAACTGTCAGATCCATTAGAGCTGGAGTCAGACAGATGGGCGTGAGCAATCAGGTGGGTGCTAGGAATGGAACCCTGGTCCTCTGGAAGAGCAGCCAGTGCTCTTAGCTGCTGAGCCATCTCTTCAACCCCATAGGACCTGCATAATGACCTGCATAAGCTGCAGATGGTCATTAAGCTATACCAGTGGAGATGTCAGGCAGGTTCCTGAATAAGCTAGTTTGGAGGTCAGGGGAGAATTGTGGGAAACAGCCCCTGAAGTCAGTCAGTAGGGATGGAAAAATATCTACCATTCCTATTAGTACTTATTCATACAGCACATCTACCCAGAGCACCTAGTGTATGTCAGGTACTGTGATGGATCCTGGGTGGGAGTTTCGAGACAATTTAATTAGCTCCCTGGTTTCCTAGCCACCTCTCTGAGCTCTGTGAGATATATAGAATCAACTCCCGAGCATCATAAACACTGACCTGCTCCCTGACTCAGCAATTTCGGAAGCACTTAGGCTTCTCAGAAAGAGCTATCTATGGATTTGGACAAATGACAGATTTACCCAATAAAATATCTGAAGACAGCCTTAAAATGAATCAGAAGAGACCGTCTCGACTAAAGGAGTATTTATAAAGAGCCAGCTTTTGAGACTGGAAAAGCTTACAGGGCTGGAAGGCAGGAACCTGACCTTGGTCCTCTCTACCCTCACTCAGGTCTCATGACCGACCTTGACGGAGCCTTTGACTCATCTGAATTTCAATCTTCTCTTTAATAAAGTGAGCCCATCCAATCCCAGATTTTCAAACTCTTGATTACTTATGTTACAGTATTTATTGTCTTGTGCTAACAGTTACTGTAAAATAAAAGCCCAAATTCCCAAGGGGATACTTCTCCTGAGAGCTTGGTTTTCAACAGAAGAAAGCTTTTAATATTTTTTTTGTAATGGAAATTGTTCTCTTTTTTGCAACTGTAAACAAGATACATGGTCAGTGAAGAAATAAAGCAAAGAGAAGTGCAGAGATTAAAGACACCCACTGAGAAAGGCATGTCTGTTCTAAGACCCACTGAGAAAGGGACGTCTGTTCTCAGCATCCCTACACCTGCTGTGAGACCAAGTAGCCAAAGCTGTAAAAAGTGTATCTAGTCACTAACTATTATTAGTATCTTCCAAACATCCTTTTTAGTCTGAGGGGGGGAGGGGGAGAGGGAGAGGGAGGGGAGGGGGAGAGGGAGAGAGAAGTGAATTCAGTGTTGCCAACAGAGACTGAAACTGGCCAGGCAGTATGGGATCTCTCTCAGATTGCATCTTTCACAATAACTGCTATCTGATACCTATGGAACGCTGGGAAACAAAAACATTGTATACACAACTTCAATGATCTTAACTAGTATCAAGGACAGATCAGTTTGAGCAACATCAAGAATGGCTGTGAAGCATTCCAAGACACAGCAAGGACTGCTCTTCAGTGGGGACAGGGAGTTGTTCCTCCAACCCCCAGGACTCCTCCTACCTCTTAGAACCAGGCTGAATACTTCGGGGACACCTGACCTCAACTGGATACATTTTACCGTGAGCCTAGCATCAGTGGGATTAACACCCTCCAAAATGGAGCTGATGGTTTTCTGATGATCTTTGAGATGGGATTAAAGCCAGATCTTGGCTGCAGACCCATGAGATTTCCTTTCCCTTAAGTGGAATGAGTTGCTACAACTTAACCACATATGCTAATCGGCTGGCGTTGAGGGGATGTGTTCCTCAGCTCAGCATCCTGCATCACTCTACTCTTACCTGATTTGCTAACTAATGCTTGAGGTGGGAGCATCTGCTAGACACCAGGCAGCCCGGGGAAACACAGGTGCATCCAACACCCACCCTTCCTGAGAAGTGCTCACCACCAAGCGGAGGAAAAAAAGTGTATCACTAAAGCAATTTCCCAACATACACAAAGCACCAAGCTGGATCCCAGCACCGTAATAAATTAATAAAACACAGTGTGATGAATACAGCGCTTGCCCACCTTGTCCTGGGAGGCAGGATGAGGAGGTGGTTTACGGACAGTCATGTTCGAGCTGAGTTTCAAGGGTGACTCAGAGTTCAGCAAGCACATTGAGTGATGGGGATGACTGGAAACAGTGGAGGTGCTGTTGTGTCCTATTGTGCAGGTGCACCAGCCAGTAGCCACCTTCCTCCCGACTGATAACAAGTGTTAGGAGCCTCTGCCCCATTCATGCCGTCCCTTTCCAAGGGAAACACTGCAAGTTCATCTCTTCCAGGAAGAGTCTGCCTGATCCACACTCACTCCCGGTTGCTTCTGTGGAGACAGCCCTCCCATCCTCAGATACCTGACTACATTCTGTTATCAGAGCTGTTTATTTCGGAACCTCTGGCACTTGAAGAGTAGACCACCATTACAATCAGCTAATACGTTTGTATCAAATCCCTGCATTGTGTAAAGCTCTCCTAGTCACAGACTTCAAGGGGGGGGGGCATTTGAGGAGGAGGGGTAGGTGTTGAAGCATCTGAAGGAGCCAGAGGCTGACACCAAGTGTCTTTCCTCAACCATCTGTCTACATTGCTTTTGATACAAGGTCCTTAGGATTCTGATTCTGGCTAAACTGGCTGGCCACCAAGTCCCAGGGATGTCCTTGCCCCTCACCCAGTGTCGTCTCCAACCCCAGCCAGGATCGAAAGTGCATACTGCTGCGCCTGGCTTTTACATGAGTGCTGATATGGAGCTCAGGTCCTGATGGCTGCACTGTAAGCCCTCCACAGACCAACCCACACTCCCCCATTCACATAGTCCACTTCTGACAACAGCACAATAGAGAAAAAAAAATGCACAAGAACAAAAAAAAATACAACCCAGGAAACATTTATTTAATATTCACACTTAAAGATAGAATAAAACACCACCCACCATCCATCCAACCCTAAGTGAGTAGCACTATGTACCAAGTACTCTGATACCAAGTGCTTGGCACCTGGAAATCGTGCCAGACTACAATATACTCAGAAGTTAGCTAGTCATATGGATAAAAACTTGTCTTACAGAGAAATGTTCAAAACACAGCAACTGCTTAAACAAACAAACAAACAAACAGAATGTTGACCAAACCCAGAAGCACGATGCCAGGTTTGTGGAAAAGACAGGCCTGCATTACTTTATTATTACATTTTCTCTACAGACACTTATCCAGACATATATACAACAACACAGCCCACTATAGGCCTTACTAATTAGTAACTCACAGTCCCTTGTTAGCTCTATTCTGCTCTGCTTTCCCAGACTTTAGTTTTGACACCTTTTTTATACATTTTTTTCTTGGATGGGGGGTTGCTGTCTCTTTGGTTTTTCAAACAGGGTTTCTCTACGTAGTCCTGGCCATTCTAGAACTCTCTCGGTAGACCATTCTGGCCAAGAGCTCACAGAGATCTGCTTACCTCTGCCTCTCGAGTGCCACTACCTCCTGGCTTAGAGTCTAGATATTTTTATCACCGCACCCATAGACACTGAACTGTGTTTGAAATGGGAACTGGAAATATGTCGATCTTTTACTAGTAACTTCCTTGATCACCTGGTCTCCTGCCCTGAGTACAATTTTTACTCTGATTCCTACCAGTGACTCCAAGGCCTTGCCGCTTCCAGGATGAAAACGCAAGACTTTCCTTGGGGCCTTTGGACTAAGGGAGGCTGTGTTGATGCACTGAAAACTCCATCCTGCCTTATCATGAATGCTGCCCCAACGTTCTGATCCTTGGTCCTCATAAGACCTAATTTTCTGTAGCCTTGAGCACCTAATGTTTGCACAAAATGGTAGCTACTTCCTCTACTCCCAGGCACTTTCAGCAACTTTCAGACAACAAGAGGCTTGCTTGCCCTGCAGAGTGAGCACACCCAGAGGAGCTTACTATCATAGCCTTGATCTGCTTCTGTGGGAAGTCTAGCCCCCATCATTTGAACATCTGGCCTTTATACCCCCCAGCCTTTCAGACTTTATCTTTCCTAAAAGGTAAGGATGACAACCATGCAATTAACTGGACCCCTTCTCCTTCCCAATTGTAGTCTTGTGCGGGGGCGGGGGAGGGGAGGGAGTATATACCACAGAGCCCTTTCATCCAGGCCACCATCTAATCTTAGCATCGATCTGCTTTAAACACCCCGATCTTAGTAATGCTTGCAACACCTTACCCCTACAGCGGTATTAAAAACCCCTCCATTGCTCCTGGTTCCCAATCGCAGACCCTGCAAGAGGAAAACTTCCTTGCCACAACCTTGCAAAACTCTCGCTTCTCTTGCAACATCTTCAGGGAATGCTTCTGGCGGACTTCACGCTCTGCCCGGGAATAATGGACGTGAACGTAGCGAAGCGTAACTCCCGCAAAAGGAATTTAAGTCCTCGGCTTCACTCTGCGTCTCACTGTCTTCCACACAGACTACTCGGATCACCGAGACTCGGAATTCAATTCCGCGGAACTTCTAAAACCTTCCCGCACCAAGTCCAGACCGCGGGTGTGCCCGGCGCTCGCAGCCCAGCCCTTCTGATTGGCTACTGCGAGGTAGGGCGGGGCGGGGGGCGTCGCGGAAAGATGACGCAAGACCACAGCTCCTTAAAGGCGCCGTCCGCACGCGCTGCCGATGGCGCAGGCGCGTTGTTGAACTTCCAGCTCTGACTCCAGAGCTTCACTCAGTCCGGGCGGGCCGACGCGCCGAGTCGCCGGTGGGGACGCGCGCGGGATTCGGGCGGGCGGGCCGGCCGGCCGGGTGGCGGCAGAGGCGCGGGAGGCGCGATGGCCGAGGGCAGCGCTGTGTCCGATCCTCAGCACGCCGCGCGCCTGCTGCGGGCGCTCAGCTCGTTCCGAGAGGAGGCGCGTTTCTGCGATGCTCACCTGGTCCTCGACGGCGAGGAGATCCCGGTGCAGAAGAACATCCTGGCGGCGGCCAGCCCGTACATCAGGTGAGCGGGCGCCGCCGCCCATCGCCTCCGCATCCCTCCCTCTCTCTGGCCTGCGGCTCCCGTGACTCTGCCGCCGCGCCCCTCGGGCGCCCATGGGCCTCTCCCGGAGACCCCCTTTCCCTTGTGATCGCCCTGACCCCAGAGCCCCGGGATGTGTCCCAAAGCCCCATACACGGTGTTCAGGCCGTCCTGGACCCGCACCTGCGAGCAGGGCGGGGCTGCTCCGGGAAGAGCCGCCCCTTCACTCCGACAGGCCCCGCCCGGCCCGCGGAGCCCCGCAGAAGTTTACCTCCAGAGTCACCGCACAGTGGGCCGGCCGGGTTTTGCGCGGGGAAGCCAAAACAAACACCCGCGGCGTAGGCAGAAGGAGAACGTTGTAAGATGTCGGTGGGAAGCCCCCACCCCCAAAGCCCAACTGTCACTTTGCCACTCCCTTGTTCCAAACAGGTTAAACTGTTGCGAATTTGAGAAGACCCACTGTCATTCTTTGGCTACAGTTACCCATCCAGGATGCAGAGATTGTAACCACCAAGAGGGCACTGTAAAACAACGATACAAACCTTAGCCCAGTTTACTAGGTTAATGAAAAGGTTGAGACCGAGCTTATAGAATCGAATCAGAATTTGTGAGAAGGGCTCCTCTCTTTTCTTTAGCAACTTTCCTTCAGGCAAACTGGGTTGCTCTTTTAATATCGGGGGAGGGGGGGCTACTAAAAGCTGGAGAAAGTGCCCAGTAAGCTAGTTAAATATAGACTAATGGTAGACAGTGTCACTAGAATTGGCAGGTCAGAAAATGGAAAATCATGTGTATGCCTTTCTTGGAGCTCTGTCCCAGCAGAACTGGACGCATATGCTGTGCTTAAATCTTTGCTTTTGGAGACATTCGAACTCAGAAGCGATCCAAGTGCCCCTGAAACATCTGGCGTCTATCCTAGCCTGGCCTTATAACATTGGGCTCTTTGTGGACTTGAGGCTCTGGTGTCTTTGTTAATAGGAAATTTAGCTCACCACTATGACAGCTCATAGCTGGGAGTTCAGAGGTTAGGACAATCAATCAAATTGAATTTCCAGGCCAGGCCTTTCCCGTATCCAGAGTAATCCCCGTTTGGGAAATGCTTAGGAAAACCACAGTGGATGCAGTATTGTTACAGATCCTTAAATGGTACCTGGCTTTAAAGTTACACATCCGGAAACACTTGGTGTCTCCATCTTTCTCTATGATACTTACCACTGCAGTATACACTGTATTTTGTTCATCTCTGTGAGCCACAATGCAGTCAGTAGCCAAGGATTTTCCTTTGGTTTCTCGCTGAGACCTTCATAGAGGGAATGGTCCCTGGGGCCAGAATAAACGTGTTGAGTGAATGATTACCTTCCTTTCCAGTGGACATCAGAGGTTTGGCCCTGTTGTATTTCCATGTTAACTGGTTGAGAAGAGCACCGGGCTGGGCGTTTGGAGATCTGCTTACATTTGAACTCTTACTTGCCTAGCTGTGGGTTGTTGGGGATGAGTTAGTCTTGGCTTCTGCTCATTAATATGACAAATGAGGGGCACAGGGTGGTTTTGTGTCATTTAATCTCTGAGGCACCTACAAAAAAAATGTGTAATGAGTTTCAGGTCCTCTCCAGCTCTTCATGTAAGTCTTTCCACTAGTTAGGATAGATCTCCTTTGGTCCAGGTCCGTCAGTTTCCAAGTAGAAAAATGATGTCTCAGAGGATGTTACCAACTTTGATGTTAGTCGTTGAGCTAGGAGTAGACTCCCAAGTTTATGTCTAGTGTCCTGTTCCCACCGTTCCAGATGACAACACTGGTTGTACTTGGGATAAAACCAACACTTGATGGCTTATAGTATTTTATCATTTAAATCAGTGGTCTCAACTCGTGAGTTGTGACCCCTTGGGTGTCAAATGACCCTTTCACAGGGGTTGCCTAAGACCATAAGAAAATACCAGAATTCACACTGAGATTCATAATGATAGCAAAATTAAGAGTTGTGAAGTAACAACGAAAACAGTTTTGTGTTTGGGTTTATGCACAACATGAGGAACTGTGGTAAAGAATTGCAGCATTGGGGAGCTTGTGGACCACTGACTTAAATGTTCATCAGCATGGTCATAGACTGAGCCGTTTTGATTTTCATTTTAAACCAGTCTTTGCAATTGGGAGGAAAAGTATTGTTAATATTTTTATAAATTTAATTTTCTTTATTAACAGATTGTGTTAGGTCTGACTACTGAAATGCTAGAACATTCTTGTGATATTTTTAGATTATCAATGTCAAGGGTATTCCAAAGTAATCTGAATTACTACTTAAAACAAAGCTTAAAATTTTTTTTGTCTTTATTTATTTTTAGAATATTTTTATTCTTGGATAACTTCATACATGCAATATATCTTGATAAATTTTTTAGATTTATTTTTTTTTATTTTATGTGTATGAGTGTTTTGCCTGCATGTGTGTCTATGCATCACATGTGCAGAGGCCAGAGAGGACGCTGGATCCTCTGGAGTTACAGATGATTATGAGCTGCCATGTGGGTGCTGAGAACTGAACTTGTGTTCCTGGAAGAGCAGCCAGTGCTCATAACTACTGAGCCATCTCTCCAGTCCCCAGTTTAGTAACTTTTGACCCCAATGCTATCGGACTTTTAAAATGTAGTTTTGTTGAAATGGCATTGAAACAAAATGAATTAGGTGCATGATGTTTTTAATCTATAAATCTAAACGTATAGGTTTGTTCCATGCCCTTAGCCTAGGTCGAATAAATGGCACAGAAGGTCTAGTAGTGTGTAGTCTAGGAACCCAGCCCAACTTTGTCACTCTAGGAAAGATGGCAACATGATGACATATTTTCTACTTACTATTCAAAGGTCTTGCAGTATAACTTACTGGTTTAGTCTTTTCTTGTGTCTTCTACCGTTTGTCCTCCCAATAAATAGCCAATTTCAAGCATGCCATGTTTAAAAAATTTTTTTTCAGTAAAAAGGGGAAGACACCAGAAAACTCAGTTTCAGCAATAAATGCCCCATAACCAGCTGAAGGTGTTCTGAGGTTGAGCCTGTGTGTTGTGAAGTTTGGAAGTCCTGGAGTTCAGGAGAGATGGGAAGATCCTCCCATGATCTGTGCATCACTCAACTCTGCAGATGCAAAGCTGCCTTCCCCACGGGCTGCTTGGCCAGGCCCATCCTGCCTAACAGTTGGGGAAACTAGATCTCAACGCAGCTGTGAGCCTTAGAAATGATGAGACTATGTTCATAGATGTGATGCCCCCTGGCCTTCCTTTCTCAGCAACTCTGACTCCCCCAGGGAATGGCTCCTTGAGCATGTAAGAAATTGCTTTGGAATACTGCACAGTTTGCCTTGCTCTCTGTCTGATCCCAGTCCCATTGATCTGATGGGAAGCGCTGCCCTTCCCTGTCAATCTGTTCTTGGGGATGATGCAGGTGACAGAGATTTGAAAATCGTTCTGTGCTTGTGAAGTGACTTTCAAGTGGCTCTGTTTAGGTTCCTGGTCCTGTGTGTACTTTGCTGAATTTACACATTTCTGGGACCTGTGATGATATTGTTTTTAGCATTCAGTCCTGGACAATAAAGAGTTCCCCGAGATTTTTTTTTAACCCTTTGATGAGTCAGCTGGCAATGGAGATGACTTGTTTGTTTTCTGGTTGGTCTAGTGACGGTGCAGTGAGATGCTCACCATTGCAGTCTGGTCATCTTGAACTTTTGTAGGACCCGGTTTCCTTGTTGGTTGAAGTTGCCAGTGCCACATGAGGTCAAAGTTCACATCATAGGTGACCATGAGGGTCTTTCCTTTGTTCTTCATGTGTGTAGTGGAGGGGCTGTCTCTTTCTCGTTCTGTGTATGTTGTTACATATGCACTGATACCGAGCTCCTCCCCTCACCTTGCCTGCAGGACTTTGTTGGGTGTTCTGTACAAATGCAGCCAGCAGCGTCGTGTCCTAAGGAGTATTTGTTTCACGCTGGTAACTTGGGTACAATCCAGGCTTAATTGTTGACAATCCTGTTTTGCCATTTAAATCTAAGATTTGACTCATGAATAGTGAGTGTGGAGAAAAATACTGAAAGAAGCTAACATGAGCTCTATTGGAGAGCCAGGTCTCATGGTAGCATAGAAATCGTGAACATCCATTTTAGGGATATCTGAAAGTTTAATGTCACTGAGATTTAAGTATCATCCTCTAATGTTGTTTACTATATGCAAAGCATGTTGTTAGCTCCCAGAGCCCTTTTTCTTGATTCACTTACACAAGTAACTAAGTAGACTTTAACCCATCTTTGCATCCTTTATTCTGAAGCTGAGCCATTCCCTCAGACAGCCACACCCACTCAGGTCCTTGCTATGAACCAGAGGCATTGCCGAGTGATATTCTCTGAACGGTCTTTTATTCCTTTGATATTTTCATCTTTTCCCTGTGCTTTGAGTTTGTAGCAGCTGCTGAAAGGTTGCTGAAAGGGTTTTAAGGAACCAGGGTTGCCTATTGCATTTCTTAGGATTCTTCCAGTGTCCTGGATTCTGAGGCTCTGTCTGAATCTGCACCACTCTTTGAGTCTCATGGTACCCATCTCTTACCAGGATCTTGCAGTGATGGGAAATAAATTGAGCCTATATCTTCTAATGGATCTGGGTCTTGTTTGTTTTTATCTTCCTACAATAAGGCCTTCCTAGCAACTGCTTGAAAGAGCACATCTGTCCTGAAGATCTTAGAGTTAAGTCTTTTAAAAAGCCCAGCAAGTAAAGGCACTTGCTGCCAAACCTGGTGACCTGAGTTTGATCTCTGGGACCTACATATGGTAGGACAAGAGACCTGACTGCTAAAAATTGGAGCCTGATCTTGACACATGTACTCTGCTACCTGGGCAAGACCATGCACACACATGAATAGAAAAATGAACACATTTGATTTTTAAAAATGCAATGTGCTCTTTCTTCATCTTATTTGGTTAAACTCCATACATGCGTGAGTTTTTCAAAAGGAAA